ATGACGTATTGACACAAATTTCAAATGATTTTCAACGGTTGCTTTGTCACGTCCATTGTACTAGACAGACTTTAGCTGTTGCGGCAGAGACACGGTGTTACTCACCTATCGAGAAGAAACAAAGCAACCTCGGCGTCCAATTGCAGGCCTTCCGCTCTTTGAGTTCTCTCCAGCGCTGGAAAACTGATCCGATATTTACACGGGTCCTTCTTCTTGCCTTAAGCCTTCTTTTGTTCCGAAGACGTTTTCCTCTTTTGTTTTTTATCCGCCATCTCTATCTTTCTGTCGCTCGGCTCGGCTAATGTCCATCTTGTGCACTAAACGCTCTCTCCTCCACATCATGAGTAGACACGCCCCTTACTGCTGATTGGCTACAAGTTTGTTTTGCTATTCGGCTGAATCAGTTTTCTAAAGCGTTTTTGAAAAATCGCTGACCCCACCTTTAAACTACATGAAAAATGTAGAGCTCTGTTTTGTAGGACACACACATAGGAAAAGTTTGATGTACAGCAGAAATAATTCAACATTATGTTGAAATAACTTCATGTTATAGCGCAATACACAAGATTTGTGATGGTGTTCACTGATTAAAAAAATTTCCCCATCAATCTAAAAAAAGCTCCTCTGGAACACCATCAAATGTGGAATAAGATTAATAAAAAAAATTTTAAAATGCAAAATATTCTTACTTTAACTTAACTAAAAAAAAAAAGACTATTATACAATTAAAATATATGAAAATAGAATTCTAGTATAAGTCCTCGTTTAGATACCAGGTGAATGTATGTTGCTGTTCTTATATGTTCTCTGACACCAAAACATAAAAGCTAAGAATAATAGCTGATTAGAGACCCAGGCCTGGGTGAAGATGTAATTTAAGGTAATCAAAGGTCAATCTTTGAAAGGTCAGAGGTGAGAGTGGACTAAAAGTCCTTAGGGATGAGCTTGTTAAGAGCAGCAGAGACAATGATAATGATCTGAGATGACCATATCTGAAGTAGAAGGGCTCAGGTCACCTAATACTGGATAAAGACAAGTACATAAATCTCAAAATAACATAAATCTGATCTTTAAGGCAAATTTATGCCTTCAGGGGAGTGTGTGAAAGAAGCTAGAAATGTTTTGCCTGAATCTGTACCTGTTCCTGGGGGAATCCCTGTTCTCTACATCTCACTTTCTTCCAGAAGAAATAAACTGCGAGAGAGAGAGAGAGAGAGAGAGAGAGAGAGAGAGAGAGAGAGAGAGAGAGA